CCCCCAAAACCCCAAAACCCCAAAACCCCTGATCCTTTACAAATATTGATTAAAAATAATTTCGAAAACAAAAGTTCCTGAATGGGCTGAACAGGTAGTAATTCCAATCCAAACCAAAGAACTGTAAAACGTACTCGTACTTGGAACGAGAGATATAATCAACAGATCAATGATGAGATGGAAGAACCTGAACGACTTCTTAACCCTGAAAACTATGAGAACCTGAACATTAAAATTGGAGATGATGTGCATTCCAAGGAGCTTGAGCTTGATTTCTCCCATCGTGAGACCCTCGAGTTGCTTGAAACCCTTCAAAAGAAAACCAAGAATTCGAAGAAGAGGCTGCCAGACTTGGACGTACTGAAGATCACCAGCATGAGGAAGCCTAAAGACCACCGAGTGAATATGTTCTTGAAAGACCACTTCCCTTGCAAAGTGGGGTCTTTCTACTTCGACGAGAGCCCTTTGTTCCTGAATAAGGACTTTGCAGATTATCAAGGGTGGACATTGGAGTGACTGGGCAGGGTCACTGGCTCAGTTATGCTGTGAGGGTTTAGGATATAACCGCCAACCAATTCCAGATCATCATTCAAAGAAGTAAAGAGATCCCTTCAGTAACTTTCTCTGAATGCAAACTGGCAACTGAGAATCTCTCGTTCGACCCTATCAACTCAGACGGTAAGTCCTCCTTGCTCCAATTTCCTCTCTTGGACTAGTTTTACCTTCTCTGATTTAGAAAGTGTGGACAACACTGATATTAAGTTCAACTGTAAACAACTTGGTTTCATCCAGTGAGAGAGTTATTACAATGACTTGAAGTGGAAAGAATCAGGAACAGAGATCAAATCAATACTTACTGCTATCAAAACCTGCACTCTCAAAAACTCGCTCACAGAAATAACCATCAAAGACTGAGGCGTGTCCAAGCAAACAATAGTCAGGCTGATGCCTGAAGACTTGCACAGAATCAAGCTGAAAGTGTCAGAAGGCGTCATTGAAGAGGAAGACAAACAACTTAGTAAACAAAGTGAAGATAAAAGGAAAATTAACGGGAGAATAAAGGGAACCGAAGGAAAATCAGAGTCTAAGCATAGTGATGAAGACATCGAAGGCGATGACCAGGAATATGAGTCAAGTGAGGATGACGAGGAGAGGGAAGAAGAGGAGAGCGAAGAGTCTTCAGTAGAGATTTCTATTGAATCCCAAAACTTTTTGTACGAAGGAGGCGAAGAGAAATAGGGGTTTTGAGAAGAAAATGGGTGTTGCTGGATGATAATTGATGAAGATAACATTTAGTGAGTTTATGAGTAAGAATTTTTGGATTATTCGAAATTAGGGTATTTTTAATATACTAAACTATCAAGTCCCTTAAGTTTAAAGGATTCTTTAATTAGCATCAAAATTAGGCAAATTAGGAATCAATTCAACAATATTTTTTACTTTTGGGGTTTTGGGGTTTTGGGGTTTTGGGGTTTTGGGGTTTTGGGGTTTTGGGG